AATGGATGTAGATTTCACGGTCTGGGATGCGATTGATGCCACGGAATCGGTCTGCAAAGTACTGTGCCGAGGCATCATAGTCGGTGTCCGAGCCAGTATAATCTGGGAAGTGGTTCGAGATGGAGGAGATGGCGAGTTTTCCTTTGAACAGATCAATTTTGTTGAGGAATAGAATGATTGGTTTGCGCTTGAACCATTCGCCGTTGACTAATGATTCAAATAACATCATGGCCTCGTGCATTTGGTTCTGTGAAATATAATTAGTGATGCGAGCGAAGAAATTGGAGAAAATCGCGCTTACAGCATTCTGGTCTTCGACCAGACATTGGTCGTATCCAGATAAGGCCACCATGAACAAAAGACACTGGACACCTTCAAAGCAATGAATCCATTTCTTCCGTTCGGACCGCTGTCCTCCAACATCCATCATGCGGAAGTTCATCTGTCCGAGTTCAAACAGAGTTTCCGTAATACCCGTTGTCCGAAGTCGAGCCTGCAACATGTCCTGGTTATCAGGAAGCCAGCCCCGAGTAAATATGCGATCGAGAGATTCATAGAAACTGGGTTTCGTCAGCCTAGGTTCATGCAACGTATCGCCAATTCGACTTACTAGTGCAAATTATCATGGAGAGCAAATTCATGCCCCCGTGCAACGGCCTTTTGCACACCGTCATCCTTCCACATAGCCCTCATTGCATCGCGAACCTCGAGATCGGAAAAGGCTTCGTCGGACCCTACATCTGGCTCCGTATTGTCTAATAGGTCCGCAAATGGCTTTCAACCCTGGTCAGCTGATGTAAGTCTCATAAGGAGAAGGGTGGATAGTACCTTGGTCTTTTCCTCATTCTCGAAATCGATATCCTCGGCATTCATAATATCCAACAGCACCTTGAACGCAATGACAATGTTTGAGTAGATTATGGCACGGGTTTGGTGACGCTCTTCCTCGGGGAAGCCCCGGCTGTGAATGATTCGCATCTGCTTGATAATGGTGGACTTCCCAGACTCTCCCGCTCCTGAGAATTTTGTTAGTAACGCGACACTGGACTAAGCCGACGACCAACCGACAACCACCCACCTAATAGCAGAATCTTGATGGTCCGGTCCAGCGTCTTCTTGTCATTCTTGATGGTCCGTTCAATGCGCGCATTGCGCTGGAGAGCATCCCTATCGGCCTCTGCGGGCTTCGAAACTAAGCAACCCATGGTTTACGTCCGGTAACGACAACTACCTAGCGCGATGGTGGTTAGCAACGGTTCATTGCAAGCTGAACTGGTTTAACAGGGGACTCGACGCATCAACGACGTGTGTTTGATCTGAGTCAGGGATGCGATTTGATTGCGCCACACGGGAGTTCAGTCGAAGCTCAGAGACAAAAGACTCGACTAAACTCTACTGGACCCGACAAGTGACTAGACTCTCCGCACAAGGTAGTAGATGTACCTACCTCCCAAAAAAAGAACAAAAATCCTCCCGTGTCTGCCAAAGTCCAACCCAATGTCGAATGGATGGTGTGCGACGTGATAGGCAGAAGCTTGAAAGGTTCGATCGGTGCTTCCGTCGTTCCCCACACCTATCGACCACGTTCCGTTGCGAATTGGGCGGTTGTGTTTCCAATTGGACCAGATTATCCTCCGAGACAGGTGCCGAATTCGTGTGAGTGACACAATGTCAGCCTACCGAAGGCCAAATAGGAAGCTTGAGGGGAGGGGGGGAAAGACGTTGGCGGTGACGGGGAGAGCCGAGATCGCGTTCCAAAGTTCAAAAGATGGACTTTTCCCGACCTCTGAGGACAAAGGGACGTTTCGGAAGCTGAGAGCCGAGTTCTCCGGAGGGGAGAGAGGGGGGACGAGAAATGGAAGAAATGGAATGGCGCATTCAAGATCGTATGTCTCTCCCGTCCCACGAGCGAGTCCACAAGCGGGGAGAGCAACTGTCAGATATTCTGGTATTCTGTATATTTATTTCGGTATCTTTGACTTCAACATCTGTCAACATTCAGTATTTGAAGTATTTTTCAGGTATTCTCTCTGGAATGGGAATGTTTAAAAGAAAATATATTAATCTCTGTTTCTTCCTTAACGTTTCCCTTAATTGGTTTTTTTTTCCTCTTTATCTCATTTGACGATCTCCTCTTTGTATTGAAATACAAAGGCTTTACTCCGTACTCGTTTAAATCTTCACTTCGTTCCCAGGGGGCCCGCTAAACCGATCCACCATGGTTTGACCCCTGTCTGCAACCTCTACAACATACAATATAGTCGGAATCAATAACTGCAAACTGATACTGAAGCTTGTTTCTTTTATTGTTCTTCCATTTTGTGATCTTATTATATTTTATAGTCTTGTACGTAGGAGACGAAGAGAGAGGGAGACTCTTGGATATTCATCAATGGCACTATCGAAAGCGCTTCGGCTACACTATGCGTTGATCCAATCCGCAGCAGTTTGCGAACAATTGAATTGTGGGGAGGTTTTTTTTTTTTTCTTCTTCCATTTTTTCCATTTCTTGATTTTCTTGCTTTTCTCACTTTCTTTCTTTTTTTTTCAAGAAGAAGAAAACGGTTATGGCACGGAAACATGCACAACATACATCATTCGATGTATACAATACAAAAGTACACAGTACATAATCTACGGAGTACAAATTGTGCATTCGCCAAGCCAATGTGGAATGCAAAAGCTCTAGCGATCGACATGAAGGTGCTGAAACCCGCATGGGTGTGCCAGTGGCCAATGCAAGGGCCATTTCTGAAACGTTGGCGGATTCCTGTCCCGGTTCAACACTAAGGATCTGCTTAAACCGGGCATCTTGTTCTTCTTTTCTGCTGACAACATACTTTCCACGGAGGTTTAACTCCGTCTCCCTCCACTAGAGCCCCTGAGATTTGGATTCCTCGAGATGGATGGAGTATGTTGTGCATCCACAACCACACAGTTCTGCCGAGGTTCAGACGGACCTAAGGCTAGCGCTTACGGGATTCCGCACAAACCAATAGAGAGTTCGAATCCAACATTTGCTTTCACGTTATCAAGCACATTCTCCAGGACTCCAAGAGAAACAGATGTTCAGTGGACCGTGACTACTTTATATAATTTCTTTTCGCAACACCCATTCCAGGCCAACCAAAAAGGTTTACAATAAAGACCAATTGCCCCATTCTACCGTTCACAGTCTCCAACTTCAAAGCATGATGTTCCTTGATTGCGGGCAATCTCACGCCGTCGTACTACTAAGGCAGGGGGTGATCCTTTCAGGACTAGTCAAATACACATGTGGGGATTGATTAGCCTCTCAAAAGCCAAGTCACATTTAATTGAATACTATGAATATACAAAAGTACTCGGTATAACATTGTAGGTATTTTGTATGGGACGAACCCGGATCAACATGGACGAGCTTATCCCGCAACCTCGAACGAGAAGAAAGGAAAAATAAAAATAAAAAAGTTCGTGGCCCGATATAGTATAAGATTCGCCATCCCGGAGATGCGATCGAGACTATATGCTGTACTTATGATATGGAGTACGGAGTACCCGACGGGTCGACTTCCACTCCAAGCTTACTCCGTACTGATATAAAAGAGATTGCACGCTTAAACCCTGAGATTAAGTTCGGCCTCCGCACGCAACTTCGGAGGAATTTCCCACGCGTGGGATGTCTTTTCTCTGACGGCCAGAAGGCATACCCGAGGTATCGACTTTCATATGTACTCATCTCCAGTCATCCTACTATTTATACATAATGGTGCTTCACTGATATCATGAAGCTCTGGCAAATCTTCATACTGAACCCCTAAGCCTTTTCACTATGCTTAAAACCCCGAATGCCTTACATATAGTACATTGCATACTCCGTATGTAAATATATAATAGATCCTTCTCATCTAAAAATATTGCAATATATTTCCTAGACTAAGACAGAACACATGTAAATAGATAGGGTTTACGATCGTCACAGCCAAACGCCACAAAAAAAAAATCCACCCCGAAAGACCATCTAATATTAGCCCTCATCTGCCCATATATAAACATATACCTACCTACTGCCTACGGAGTACGGAGACATTGGTAGGAACTCTATGGCTAGTGCGAAAGTTAAAGGTGAACCTGTCAACGCAAACTATTCAGGGGCGTTGAATAGAACTCGAGCAATTTAAACGTTGTCAATCAGCATTTGACAGCAGGTTCGGTTGCTGGCTTTTTTATCTTCCGAGAGTGAGTCGTTCGGGAATAGCTCCGGAGCTGATATACCTAGTCCAGTATAGTAACTACTCGTCAAATTAGTTAGATGGGAATACCGGATACGCCCGGGAATTTTTTTTGTCGAATGTAAAAGGACGAGTAAGCCAAATAATGAAATATGGAGAACCATGCCCGGTTTTAGTGGCCGCTTTGATGGGTCGGTCTTCGGACTATGGTCCTGCAGGATTGCCAGGACCGGAATCCAGACTCCGTACTCATAAAGGTAATATGTGTTGAAAGTATATATCCTATAGTTTTCCTTTTTATTAATAGTCCTATGCCAAGAGCTACGGAGTGCAGACCACTTGTCTTTCCTTTTCATGAAGGAGTAATATATGTTGTACACTGGTGGCGGCATAGTTTCCGCCAGCAATGCTACATAGATTGAAATTCTGGTACTCTGTACGGACTAAAGTGGTGATCAATTAGATAGACCCACATGATTAATAAAATTTTACTTTAACAGTGGGAATCCTTGATCCTACACTTTCCATAGTCAATCTGTCAGCGCAGCTTGAGCAATAGATGCGAAGCATTCTTCGCACTACAAATATCAGAAAATTTAGGCAGGACAATCAGCTGCGCACGTTCGAGTACCGGCCATTCGATTTCTCTTTGCAATGATTAAGCATATTGTAAGGATACAGGTTTAGATGGACAAAATTTAGTGACCTCACTGAAGGATTCCAGAAACGTAGGGATCACACCACGCAGAGCCGGATTTTGTATTCTCCCCGTGGTCTTTTAGGTCTACAATGAGCCATACACAGAAAAGCGCACTAGTGCTTGGCTTCCCCGGGTTCAACGTTTTCGATGTAAGTGGTCAGGTTTCAGTACTCTACAACTCGGACTTCTCCATGAGCTATGCTGCCAAGGATGAACTCACAACATCTCAAGAGAGCGCAACAGTTAAGAGAGACATATCCCTTGCTGAAGCCAAACTTCATCTATCAAATCATGAAATATTGATCGTTCCTGGCTCGCGACCAAATAATATCCTACCACATGTGGAATCCGAACAGGGGCAGCTATCGGAGCTTGTTAAATTTATCGCCTGTTTTGCATCTGATACAGATCAAGATAGCGTGAGGCAACGTACCTTCTTGGCAGTTTGCATTGGAGCCTACTTCTTAGCCTTGGGGGTGTACTTGATGGCCTCACTGCAACCACACACCTTCTTGCTGTCCCCGGGCTACGAGATGCAACTCAACGTTATCTGGATCCAACTCCCGGTGCGAAAGGGTCTAGAGTCGTTCTCAAAGATCCCTCGGACCTGGTTTCCTATTTGGATGCTGGTCAGAACCAGTTCGGAGTCAGAACCATCACGACAGGCGCTATGATCAATGGCATCGATGCCGCATTGCATTTCATCAGCCTTAGGTCGAGTCGATCACTTTCAGTTGAGGTCGCGGGGCTCATGGGACATCGATGGAAGGATATATAGATCAAGGGAAACAGTGGGGTTAAGGTTATCTTGGCAGAACTAACTAGTCTTTTTAATGCATTTCTTATATTCTGGCCATGCGATGAATATGGAGTATCGCAAGATAATATTATCTGCTAGCAATTTGAAACATAAAAATCACCACATAGAGTTGAAACTCTGTTGTAGCGCGGCTGTCTAACACAAGCCACCTATCGATTCCACAAGTTCTCAAATATCAACATGTCACGCTCAAAGAGTATAATACCATCCTGACATGCCCTCAATCTGACAATTTGTCTCCCGGGCCTTTTTGTTTGTTTTCCAAAAGTGGAAGTCCATCATCAGGATTAGGCATATGCTGACCATTGTAATACCAAATGTCACCCAAATGCCCGTAGTATAATGTGGACTTTCATCAGACTTGAACGTGATACTTGCAATAATACCCCCAAGTCCCCCGCCAATCAGACAGGTTGCTGATGCAACTCCGCGCTTTGAGTGGGAAGTAATGTTGTTCGCTTGGAATGCCAGCACACCGGGAATACAAAACTGTAGGAATCCCACACCTAGAGTATAAAGTTAGACGTATAACAATTCATCCTGAAAATATCGAGAGCTCACCCATGAATATTCCAAAGTACCTTGCCCCACTTGCACCGCCATAGGCTGTGATCAACATCCCCACTGCTGTCAGTAGTTGATGGACAGCAATCACCGGTCCGCGGATTTGGTATTTATCGGTGAGCCAGCCACCTAAATATGTAAAGAATGCAGCAATGATGTAAGGTGGGGCACTGAGAAGCTGACTCTGCGTGTTGCTGAAACCCATGCCCATGAGAATGACTGTCTTGAAGTAGCTGTACGCATATCCCGGTAGGGTGGAGGCCATGAGATTGAACGCCCAGACGTACAGCTTCCAGTCCTTAAGATGATGAAGAACCCGTTCCATAGTAATTGGATCCTCTTCCGCATCTCCACTGTCATTGTTGATGCGAGCGATGATAAATTCTTTTTCCTCCGGCTTGAGAAACGCATCTGCTTGAGTCGGAAAATCGATGATGATGAACCAGCCAATTAAACAAATGCTACTGGTAATGGCACCTTCAACGATGAAAATCCCTAGAGTGTAATCGATGTCAGCCGTTTCTATTCTCACGGCATGGTGGCGAGTAACCTACAGCGCCATCCGTTCAGACCGTAACTTCCGTCTAGGAGGGTCAGGGCATAGGCAAAGATTGCCGCGAAGGCGTTCAGCACAACAGAAACCAGCCAGAAAGCGGCCAGCCTCTTGCCCACCTCAAATCGCGTATACCAACATGTAATTAGATAGGTGCAGCCTGTATTGTTAGTAATGCTTACCTTGGAGAAGCAGTCCATTTTGACTTACCTGGAAGAAATCCAGCTTCCATCACACCTAAGAAAGACACCGGGTCACTAAGGTAGAACAGGAAAGGAGGACATCTCTTTACCTAACAGGACTCGGCAAGCTACCATTGTGGTCCAACTTCTGGTGAAACCCATGCCGATCAAGATCACTCCAAAGCTAAATCCAAGAAACGCTAGCCAGTTTGCTGCACCGGCTCGGGGAAGGACCAGATTCTGAGATTCATCTATTAGTGATGATTCTTGATTGAGGAGCGTGGACGCACGCTGGGTATCTCGAATATACTAAGTGAGACGTAAAGTTAGACAATTAGTGTACCTCGAAGTCCCCAGGTAGTACCAAAGAGCTTACATGTATGCCACGAAGAATACCATAACAACGATCGTATACCTATTGCCAATGTCAAGTCCAAGATCCTGTTCCATCCCTGCTACAAATGCAAGACCAAGGTTGGTCCTATCAATAAGTGATATTGAATACATGATCCCAAGAATTGGAAGGAGGCGGAGATCCACGCGTCGCCTAGTCCAAGAATTAGAGCTGGCTTGCTGACCATGTTATAATGTAGAGAGAACATACATGACCCTTCTTTGATGTGCCTCGTCAATGCCATACACAGGGGATTCATTGCCAGGACTGCGATGTGCCAACTCTTGTTCTTCAAGATGGATGAATTCCAAATCCTCTTTCTTCATAGATTTATCTTCGTGGGGGCTAGCCGAAATTGATGCCATTGTCGTGAATTTATGGGCTCCTTGATACTTCAACAAATCGAAAGAATGAAAAGGTGATGTGGATTAGAAATACATACACAGGCGGTACTTTAAGAGCATATTTCGAGAGAATCTTAACCGAGTTTATCCAACATAATAGTGTCAACCTTGCAATAGACCTCGGAACAAGATGGGCAATTGAAGAATCCGGGGAACTACCAAGCTTACCCCTCAGCTTTGCGCTTGATGCCAAGCAGCAGAGGAGGGCATGAAAAGCCGGGGAACCCTTGGTATAACTTGGCATCAAGAAGGAGTAGCCTACCATAAACAGGGATCTCCCAGATATCCGATGTGGAAATGTGATGTGGAGGATTGTAGCATCAAACCCCGCACAGTGCCCAAATCTAAGGAGGCTGTGGTGAGCAAGTAGCCTTTATATTAAACTTAGCTTGAAGAGGAAGCATGCTCAAGTGGCAGCAATAAGTTTGGTCATGAATCCCTAAGCATATACATAGCCAAATAGCAACTGCAACTGCTAATAGAACCACACATAACTATCCTTCGACACTAGTGTGACTATAATATCAACATCGTTAAACTATGATAATTTATAGTGCAAAAAGAGGGATAATCTATCTACTGGACGATCGTAACGGTTTCGTGAAACACGTAGCCCGATAAATGCTTCTGATATCTCAGGATCCCTTCGTCCCTTCACATCAGTCCCCTCCAATGTTATATATCTTTAATTTCGTTATTTCATTCAATTTCTCCAGGTGTGGTATGTTAAAATTACTAGAAAGGCCTCCTACGCCGAGCTTTCAATCGGGTGAGATTCTGTAACACGGTATAGTTTCGTTTAGTAGATGTCACGCAGAAGTCACTATTAAAACCGACGTGTGATGTTTTGATCAAAAAGAGGAGGCGGAATATCTCTGGTCAGAACATGCACCGTTTAGATAATGATCAAAGTTTGTTCTATCAAAGGGGCGTGTTGAAATCGCTATAAATATCTATGACTCATGCACGTAGGCCGTTTAATCGAGTGAGATTCTCCAAGGTGGCATGAGTATGATGGCTTTCCATGTACGAGATTCGGCTATATGCTCTCTATAACAGCCTTGAGTCAGACCGAGATACCTTTACCATTCCCGCAATTCGTACATCACAATGGCTATTATAATGATAGGATCCGTGCCAAACGACGAGCTATCCATTCTAGAGAGTAGACCAAGAACCTGTCTATGTAGATAGATACGATAGAAAAAGCCCCCCACATTTACCCCTCACATCGACCGGACATTATATTTCTCTCAATACCTCATGTTTTCTCTTCTTTACAATGGCAAATAAAATATTGTCAATAACTGACCTTGAGGAGGCGGCTTCCAACTCACTATCCGTCTCCGCGAGAGGTATGTATCGAATCTCCCTCGATATCTATCTTTAACGCGGAGAAATAGACTTCTTCAACTCCGGCGCAACGAACCAAGTCACACTTCACGACAATTATGCTGCGTATAGAAAGTACCGTCTCTTACCAAGAGTTCTGAGGGATGTCTCACTTGTCGATACTGGAATTTGCCTCTTTGACCGAGACATTAAATTTCCGCTCTGTGTCTCACCTGCCGGAATGCAGGCTATGGCCCACCCAGAAGGTGAGCTGGCCACAAGCCGAGCCTGTGCCAAAATGGGCGTCAATATGGGCGTCTCCTCCTATGCCAATCACTCGGTTGAAGAGATTACCGTCGCTGGAAAAGAAGTGGGACCAATTCATCATGTGATGCAGCTCTACGCGATGAACGACAAAGCTAAACAAGAGCGAATCGTCCGTCGGGCTGAGGCTGCGGGATGCAAGGCGATATTCCTAACTGCGGATAGTCCTGTACTTGGGGTGCGCTGGAATGAATGGCGAAATGGATTCATGCCTCCGGTTGGCTTAGGGTATCCGATGTATGAGAGAACATCTACCGAGATTCAGCAACAATCTCACGATGATGGGTTTAGCTCGACAAACTCGGATTCTCATTCCTGGGCCACGGAGATACCGTGGCTGCGCAGAGTGACGAAGATGGAGATTTGGATTAAAGGCGTTCTCACCACAGAAGATGTCGAGACTGCTATTGAATATGGCTGCGATGGTATTATCATCAGCAACCATGGTGGCCGGCAGCTGGATGAGACACCGGCTACAATCGATGCCCTTCCTGCCTGTGCTAAGGCAGCGCGGGGGCGGATCAAGATTCATATTGATGGTGGAATTCGATCCGGGGTGGACATTTTCAAAGCCTTGGCCCTTGGCGCTGAATGCTGCTGGGTTGGCCGTCCTGCGCTGTGGGGACTTGCGGTAAGTGCTCCTCGTTATATTAAGGATCCTGATAGAGGCGGGTATACTGACTTCTTTTGTAGTATGACGGTCAACAGGGAGTCGAGCTGATGCTCAGGATCCTGTTCGACGACTTCAAGCGATGTATGCAGCTTACAGGCTGTAGATCCATCTCTGATATTAGCTCGGCAAGTCTAGCGATTGTCAATGCATATGGACCTTTGGCTAGACTGTGATCTACATTGTTGTGATTACGCCTGATACTGGAGGCCCTTCCACCCATTTCCGTGTATGCTCACTTCTTGGTCAAATTATGACAGATCAGACTATTTTTAGAAGGCTGTGGATAGACTCTGACTCTGACTCCTTTGGGGGGGATGGGCGAAACTGAATGATCTAGAGCATCGTCGTCTTGTGACCTATGTGATTTGCTCACATTTTCAACGGACGACTCTGCTATTATTATCAGCTCAATGCCACCAAAGCCCATT